TCTAATTGCCCTACAGATTCGGTATCGTGTGCGTCGGAAATGACTGAGATGAATTTTTGATCTTATGTCTTTTTCAAGAGTTTTCGGAGCGGTGCATTTCAAAGGGTCGAATTAGAGTGAACGTAAATTTCAGAGTTCATCAATAGTTTGAATTTATCTTTCATCTTTTCTTTCTCGATTTCTAGTCTCAATCTGCATGATTGATACACGTTGGCTGAAAATTGACCTCAAACTTAGGCAAAATGAAAAACCGTTGCCAAAGCATTGTGGGATTGAAGTCATTTGAAACAAAATGTTCATTGGTGGTGCTTCTAAGACGGTTTAACGTCATCGTGCTAATGGAACGTTACCTTAGCTGACTGAGTAGAACATCCTCTATCCTTTGGCAACGGATGCCTGTACTGTTTTAACGAGTAAACAAAGGGGCTGCGCTCTCGTATAAATGAACCAAAGAGGCTGACAGAGATGGACCATTTCGGAACATTCCACTGAAAGTTTCTAAAGTAGCAATGGATGAGTGATATATTGTATATTTTGGCGTTATATAAACCAATGATAAACATTGTCTTTTTATCGCCAATGTTAACCAATTATTGGCACGGCTTTCTACGGCCGTAAGGAGAATACACAATAATATCTATAAAACAATTCTGGTATGGTACAACGTGTCTCCATCAAGGTTGCTCTGGACTCTATTCTGAGAGATGCTCGATAATCTAATGAAACAGTTTCAATGTTTGCTTTATTTTATTTATCAATTCAAACGTAAGTCCCCAATAACTGCAACTCAACAATGTGTTTAAAACCTAAGTTACAGTCAATCTGTTTCTATTTATTTTATCGAGTTTCTTTTATTTCTCTTTATTCGTTCTGAAATGAGATCAGTACTACTAATGAATAAACCCTCAAAACAAGACGTATCTAAGTAGATCCAGAACCTGATCATATGACTTAGGAAGTTCTTTTCCGCTGATTGGCTGAGTCAAAACACTTTTCCAAAAGAAACCGTAACACCATTTCATGGATTCGTCCTGGCTGTGTAATTCAATGCATATGGGTATCTATAATAATAAAACGGTTCATTAGCAACCTTGGTAACTGTCTTTATTGGTTTCTCAATTATAGACTGACGATTGCATCACACTTGATTTGGCACTGTGAAACAAACATACATAAATGCATGGCCCAATGAAGAAAACAATTCAGTTCTTACCACTAAATAAACAGCTTCTGATATGCTTCATTCTGCTACCCATCTGACATGACCTAATTTAAAATTTATATCGACACAATGTGTAATGAAATCACGGAGGTACTTCGGTTATGATATGGACATGAAAACTCCATGATGAATGTGTTGCTTTCTGTTGCTTCTTTGAAATCCACCAGTTGGGTGACCAGGAATCCTTTAACGCTATCATCATTTATTAAAATTCCACACACTTAATAGCGTTGGACGAAAAGCTTTAACTTGCCAATTGTTATAAAGGCAGTAACTTGTTCAATAGAAAGAGGATGATTTCCCCAACATCGTGAATTAAGACACAGTATATTAATATAGTGACAAGAATATTAAGAACATCAGTGCATCGTTACTCCTGGTCGCCAGTAACCGGAAATATGCTGAAAATGTCGGCGCCTAAACATTTTCACCGGTAGTATAAAGCATAAGATTGTCCAGCCCAAGTACAAACGAACGATCAGTGACGGAAAAATTGAAAGGCAAATAACAGCGAAAATTTCAAAATGGACATGTAACGTTTTGAAAAAGTTCGCTCACTGTAGTACAGGAAGATGAGGTAGGTAGCTTTCCCAGACTAATCTCTAATTAGGCATGAAACACATATTTTGGACATGACATGATGAACCTGGATGAATGAGATACTTTACATATGTATTGAGAGGTAAACAGGGGGCTATACCCAATCTTACTTGATAGGTATGTTGATGAAAACTGATGGGTTACGGTAGGGGGCGAATTTCTAGCTGCTTGTTTGAGTTACCTGATCATCCTAGACGAAACCCATTGTTCGACACAAACACGCTTGCTTTATTCTCTGCTCACCTTATGCGAGAAGGGGCACTCAGTACGCCTGCAACATTTCCGCGACAAGGTACATGCACAATGCGCCACAATGGATGGATTACTTTTCTAATGATGGTACATTGTGGCATTGACCACTTTCGTAACTTTTACGTAAACTCGACTGTGAGTCTCTTGGTGAAGTTGGTAAAGCGAGATTAGTAAAATTACAAGTTCCTGCTACATCGACGCAATGTTCGGCAAAGAATGGACGAGTATTGGCACCGAAGAGGGTTTTGATGCCTGGAAAAAGATAATACATCACGTATTTTTCTCTGATACAATCCATAAGTGATATATCTCTGTATTATATAGTTAATAAATATAGAAGTTATGGTCTGACTGGCTAATATGGTTTTCACTTCGTAAATGATTATTTTTATGGCTTTCTGCTGCTTGAAGTTAGATTGAATCATTGCAGCGGGCTTTTCAATACTAGCTTGCTCAAGCGGCTGATGAGAAAAATATCCGGAGAACAGAACCGCACCCAGTTTCTGTTCCCTACAAAACGGGCAAAACTAAGTTGTTCTCAATTTCCGACCTGATCTCTGTAAACATATTCTAAACTTGGGTCCGTAAATGCACTCATCGTACGATTCAAACTGGGGTTTTGCTCCAGAAACAAGAATTATTAATAACTCTTGTGACCGTTCTAAACATTATAAAACTAACTGATCTCAGAGAACACTAGTTGTCACTGTAGGAAGCATTTGTGAACTGAATGCAAATATTACGTCAACTAGGGCTATTGCTTCCCGAACGTTACACATTGACGTCATTGTAGTCACTCAAACACGACATCGGGGAACATCATTGATATCCTGAATTCACCGAGCTCTTTACTTGGAAAGGATATGTAGGAGTACAGTGAAATATTTTTGCAATAAGCTGTGCGTGTTTCAATTAGAAATTTTAGTATTCGATCGTTATGACTTATTTTGACTGCAATCAGCAGAAAGCCATTTAGAACGTTTTTTGAAAAGGAATGTAACATTTGAGTCTAATTTCAAACGCGATTTGACATCAACCTCAACAGCATTGCCTTTAAAAGGAGTGTACTGAATTTCATTGTTACAGCAAGTTTGAACAAAACAAATTTGGAAATACGGGCCAAGGTGGTAATAAAATAAGTGTGAGCAAGGTTGTTTTGATACGCCAAACAAACCACATGATCAATGACCACAGAAAATAGTTGTACTAAATATTTTGTGAAAACACTCACCCTCGTGATGTATCGCACGAAAGAATGTGATAAGCCAAACAATTGCAAAGTAATAAACGTTTTGTAAACATTTCTGTCAATATAAACTCAGAGCTTGAGTGCCTCTGTTGGAAAAAGCGCAACAAAATAGTATTAGTTGGCCGGTACATTCACCGATTTGCTCGCTGTAGATTGTTGTGGGTGCACTGCGCGAAAATCAGATTAAAACCTATTGAATTTTCCGACACATGATCAATAAGCTCGAAAGAAAGCCAATATGAAATGGTGCAGTTCTGTCCCTAAAACCGTACCAAAAACAATGACACTGAGGCGAAACATTCTAAAATGAGTGAGGCTCAACCGTTAAGCTCTATCACATGAAGAATACCACACGTTATGAACGCCATGGTCAATGTAAAAGAGTTGTGAATCCTTTATTACCCAAACTCCAACATGTATCCACTTTTGCGCTACACCATATCACAACTCGTTGCGCTCCATACGACAACTAAAATTTATATGCTTTCCCTCTTTTTCTATTTCTGTTTAACTGCATTACTGCCCTTTATAATTGTTGATTTTATATTCTGACCTTGACGCGCTAGTTAAATCGACGTCGTGTCAATCTAGTCGTGAGTACCTATTTTATATATGTTTGATACTGTAATTATTTATAGAACCACATTCAATATTATTACTGCTGCCCAAAGCCGTTTTTTCTGCCCAGAACGTGCGTTTAGTCGAGATTCACAGGATCGCTGTTTACTGCTAGCTGTCGTCGTTAGACTTAGCTCATTTGTCCTATCTTACGCGTTGTTTTCCTGTAGTTAGCTGTGTATTGTTCACAGAGTCCTTAAGTGCAATTCAAATTTCGTCCTGCGTTATATCTGTTATCGTTCCCGTAACAGTCACCATGGTCAACTATTTCGTTTTGGAAACCGGTGAACCAAGTCTTAAAACTGGTAGTAGCAGAGCATCCAAACGTGATAGTGGTTAGCGTTATACAAAATTTGGTAACAGTTGAAAAGAGAAGTTAGGTGGCTGGGATTGAACCAAGCCCGCCCGCAACGGAAGCCAAAATACATTAGTGGCGAACCAAATAAATCACCAGAAAACTAGTGTAGAAGGCTGAGGATTTCGAAATTTGTAAAATGACATTCATCACACAAACCTAACTAGAAGGGAAAAAGAAAGCCTGAGCAACACTATACGATGAAATGAGCATTCTTATTAGTGCGAGCTCATTGAGCAAAAAAGAGGTAGGCTCGTGATATCACACTGGATTGAAAGCCAACTTTCTGCAGGGAAGCAGATCATTAGATGCTTAGCCTAATTCATTGGTGTTCATTTCAGCTGAAACCGGTAGGTCTCAATCAAGACAACCCCAGACTACTCAAATTACAGAAAAATGTATCTCTTTCAAACAAGACTGGGGGACTATCGTCGATTTCCCTCCATTAACTTAATTAATCTGAAAAAAAACATTTACTTACGTAATAAGAAAATTACGTTGTTTATTATTTCACTCACGGAAGTGTTCTGCGAGAAGTTTGCTGTGTTAGAAAAACAATGGATTTGCGATAAGCTATTCTCTCCCTGTCTCTACGAGGAATGATAATTGGCGAGAAACAACTTCGGCAAAATCATTACTGGGAAACTGAAACAGGTTATTGTCACCATGGATTTTCCTGGTAGAATATTTTGAAACAAACTCACTGGACTCCATCCTAGCTCCGAGAAATTCCGATGTGATCATCTGCCTGCACAAAGCTGTTTTACCCACATTCGGAAAACCGACAATTTGGATCCGAATCGGTTGTTCCGTCTCCGGTTCCGCCGTAGCAGTTATGGTCACTTTTTCCATACCAAATCCATCTGACCCTCGTAGCGTGGACCTACGACTGGGATCGGGGTGCTCACCGGTTTGATGTTCTGGAGTGTACGAGCCACGGGGTAAACGAAATTGATCAGTTGACAGAAAACTCGGGGAGTGTAAGCTGCGTCCCACACTTGAATGTTTATGAGAGAGAGGGAAATCAGTGCGAAATCCTTGATCTGAATTGTTTGAGGCCAGGCCAACAACACTCCTTGTCCGGAACGTATCACCCTGGAATTGTAAATAGAGAGAATATATATCGAGAGATTTATCAGTCAAACAATAAATCAATGCGATTGCCATTAACGTATTTTGAAATAAACCCGACATAAATCAGGTTTGTATTGATAAATTGAAAATTTCTAACAGGATTCTGTAAATATGTTTATACGGAATGCACTAAATAATTTTACTATCCCTCGGTTAGAATATGATGGAGGATGCATGGATTATTGAAGTAGCATAGAGATATTTTACTAATATCAATATATTTTACAGTTCCGTGGCCGGTAGTTGTATGCAGACTGAAAAATATTTTTCTCATTTTCATCGTTAACCGATATTTTTGCGTCAAAAGCAGTAATTATTTGTACGACTTCTACTATTTTTTGTCATCAGCCTCGTCTTTTCACTATCTTGTTGCTCAGCTAATCGGAACTTTGACAGGTGCTTGATCAGACCTTCGCCATTTGCCGTTGGCGTTTAGTTTATTTCGGCAGAAAAGAACCATAACACGTATCGCGATGCACGGTTTTAGGTGTATGTAGATGATTAACGCCCAGAAAATGATACACTTTCCAAATTAATTTTGCTCCCAACCTTCTGTTTTCCTATGGGGGTGCCCCGGTGATGACATCACCAAATTATGACTATAGAGAACTTATGTTAGAACCCCGTTATAAGGATTTCACATTCCCTATTGTGTTTTGTATGATATCCCTTTGATGGATAGCCTCTTCCTTCCTCAATCATGTATTCAATAAAAATAATTATAAATGCAAAGAATGAAACTCTTTAAAAGCTGCCCCGTAGGATAAGGAAAGCAGACTATTTGGTGATGAATGTGAAGCTGTGTTTGGCAGCACAATCCGATACGCCACTTCGTCGTTTTCTTTTTTCTATCTGATTTGCTAAATAAATGCACGATTAGTCTGGTTTGCCTTCCCAGAATCACCTACTGCATGTACTATTTCTCGTATAACTAGCTCACAACTGACCTGGTGCTTTTTACTGTGCTTCCAAAATGTTGACCTTCTTAATCCACTATTTCACACTTTTCGATTAAAAATACTGTATTTTATTCTCAACCTTCAACTATAATTGTGCAGGCTTCGAATGTTCTTTGTGAGCTGCATATCATCTTGGGTGGCGAGCATGGAGTATATACGTTTTAATTGTATGCTTCTAATTGAAGATTCACTGCCGTTAATGATGAATAGGTTTAGAATGTTTACGACGATGGTATTTTGGTGGCTTTATTTGCATACACGTATGTGGTCCGGAGATTGGACACTCATCGTGTGGGCATGTGCAGTTTGTTGTAAGCTGCCTTCACAAGCAGTGTGGCCTCAGAATCTGGGAGTACGGTTGTAACGAACTGAAAACGTGTTACTGATCCGGACGAGCGTAGCTGTTAGTTAGACGTAGCCAAAACCTGTATTGATACCTGACATTCAAAGAAGATTTATGACACAGCATTATGGATATTGATTTACAATTTGGTTATGATGATCAAACATGTGCCTTTTTTGCGTTCATAAGTTGAATTTCAAGTACAATTTCATAAATCAAAAGCGAGCAGATCACGTGGGATTACGGATGGCTAATATTTTCATCGTAAAACGCAAACCAAGAATAACCGCAGTTCACTAATCCGTTTATATATTTATCATGCAAAGATTAGTTTTGGAGTATCCAAAAACAAATGACTGGAATTTATTTGCGATTCGCTTCGGTTTAGTTGATCCATCACCATATGCCACAAGGGAGCTTGCCTTCGAGAAGAATATTTGATAAACCAGGTGGATCACAAACGTTTAAATAAAATTTAAAAAGGTTGTAAAATTGTAAAAGCGCCAATCAATAAAACCTGAATAATGTATTGAATATTCAAAATCGCTGAGGGAAGCAGAAGGCGTCCTGTAAGCAACACACATAGCTATCATTATAATGAACGAAACGTCATGTGCCCAAACCAACAACCTTTCGAGGTTAGCAAATAAATATTTCGTTCTTGAATAGCCGCTGTAAAGTTTCACCATAAATTAATTGTTCAATCCCTTATTCAAATTCAGGCTGCGCTAAGCACACAGTCAGCCACAATGATCAAAATGAGTCAAACAGTCAAGTTTATTTTAAACAGTACAACCGGAGGTTGAATGAATGTGAATTATTGAAATGTGCTATCGGGTCGAAGTCTTCCTGTTACAAATGAGCCGTGGGTCTCAGATTCGATGAGAACATCAAATTCAGAGAGGATCCTCGAAAAATCAAATACGTATGTTGTAGCAGTCTGTTGGGGATAAGAAACTAAATCCCAGAGGAGGTGAGATGAATCGGCTTAGTTAATAGGCAAATGTAACCCCGAAATCATTTCAAGTGTCACATTCATTGCGTTTCCACTAAATAACAGGACACTCCATCAATCAAAGGCTTTCAGTAAATCATAAACAAATCACAAGATTTGTTTACGATTAGAATAACGCACATCTATATTATTTTGAGACAAAGGTGCTAAACAGAAGGGTGCGTTTTCTTTCAGACGAACGCTTTCGCTTTGAATGTGCAATCAAAGTCTCGAAACATTATCCAAGATAATTGCAGACAATAAAGTGAATATGAATATAACCAAAAGCATCAAACTTGAATCCCAAAGCACAAACATATTTAATATGTACACAAGCACGTTTGATGTCACTGTGAACGACGACTTTACTGGCCTCCTCATTTAGAAAACAACCATATCTCAAGATTGTAGCAGATATTTTTCACTTTCTAAATCAAAGAGTGGACAACATTTCTTTCACTTCTTCAAAATGCGGAATACACATTACAGATCCCTGTTTGAAATCATTACACGACGTTTATTTAATCAACCATATGTACCTATTTATGTGGCTGCGAATGATTATTCTGTGCACCAATCTACATATCCTCCATGAGTTTTATGTGTGTGAAGGCTTCTAGAAGGCAACATGTACAGTTAGCTGTTCTGTGCAACCTTGTGTACCTCAAAAGGGAGTTTAATCGCTAATCTTTGAGTTGAGGTTCGAAACCCCTCACTCCAAGCTTCACAAATGGGGTGGGGTAAATATTTGGCTCCTAGTGAAAGAGGTAATTAAATAAATACTGTCTGCAAATTAGCAGAAAACGGTAAATATAAACAAATTCAGATGCTACTTATCTGCCGTTTATTGGGTGAGTTTATCATTATTTTAATCACCGGAAGCATTTGTCTGAAACTGCTCGCCTGTCCAACTCCATAAATAGCAGTTAGGAGTAATCCATTCCACTCTCCCATTAAACGTCATTTTGTTGTAATACTCACTCTGAACATACAGAATATCATCAGTCTCATTGATTTACCTATTGACGTTGAATTTTTGTGAATTACTTCAAACAAAGATCTCTCTAACCTCTGGCCATAAGACATATTTCCCGAGTGATTCAATCGTTGTGCACTGTTTTCCCCAATCACCCAGGAATAATCGGACGGGTTATGAGAATCCACCTCGAGGCCTTTAGGTGCAGATTCAACTGCTGGATGAGACGTTTTGAAGGGATACCTTATATGAAGTATATCGAGCGAGTCCGTAAACAAGATGAGATAAAACGGTTAACCGTCTAAGAAATGTCAACAATCTAATTAACAGAATGTCTGTTTTGTAAGCCCTTCATTAAAAAGGGAGGGCAAATGTTTACAATACCGCGAATAATTTGGGTATAAATTAGTGCCTCTTTCCGATCCAGAAATTTTCGAAAAACCCTTGTCATTGCCTCACTTCCATCAAGATAACAGTTATACATAGTGAACAAACTAGAAATATCGTCAATATATTTTCGAACAACTAAAGCGGTGACTGATCTCATCGATGAATCGTGCAACCCCAGGATGGAGATTTGAAAATAAGTAAGAGTATAGGATTTGTGGAACCAGCCAAAATCACGAGGAACAACAATGGCTTACCACATGAAGTTGACAAGCTAAATTTGTGTGGTAAATGGAATGTGATTGCATAGCTTCCCGAAAGTGTCATTGACTGAATGAACCAACGGCTGTGATTAATCAGATGATTCCATCATGGCGCATTAAAAACAGTAACTTTGTTCTTCCCACAGTAAACTCACTGCCCACTGAATCACCCACGAGACTAGTTCGTTGAATGTTAACAATGCATTTTTATTCTCCGGCTCATGGACATGATATCGGTGAACTATTAGATGTAAATTTCCTTGAGTGAAGTAGATAGAGCCTTTTGTCGGTAAGGCAACATGTCATCGTATATGACTATATATCTGGTTCTGATTTTTTTAAATATAAGTAACATATCTGGGGTGGAGATTATAGTCCAACTACACAAGGACTTCCAAAGCCGGTTGTCAAGTGAAATATTGTCGACATGACCCAGTGCTGTCCGGATGTGAGCAAAACTGGTCAGCATCACGTGATTCATGAGCAGTATTTCAACCAGTCTACACTAAAGTACAGTCGACTGCTTGCTGTAGACAGTTAGCATATTGTTTGGCAAGTGTATCAATTCACTAGATTGTTCTTGATATTCATTTGAAACGTTAGCTTTCTGTTCTGTTCTGCTAAAATATTTAGAATTCATGTCAAACATCACATAACGATATTTTTCAAAGGAACGCGTCTGCCTCAGCTTCGTCCTGCATAACACTTATATTAGTGACAAGGTCAACAGATCTACAGCAAAAAACAATTCACTCAGAACATTATACAAATAAACATGTTTGATAATTCTCCTGCACCCTGATCTGCTTATCTCATGGCAACTAAGAGTAGTTTTGACTGTCAGGAAGACAAATTGCAGTAAGCTCAACGGAATTGTATACTTCTAAGCGAAGCCTGTTCGCTCAAAACTAAAGATATTTATACCACTGAACTGCGACCTTTCTTCAACCTAGAGATGACCAAATGAATGCACTCAGAATACTAAACATATCTGGTGCAACACTACGCGACTGGTGGCATTCGGATTACATGTTTGTTGTCTCAAAGTGTGTAAGGACATACATTAAGCAAAGAACCCAAAGTTGTGCAACAAACTGCGATAAGTTAAGTCCTCAGATCAGGGTTAGTAAATTTATAATGAAATAGCCAAGAATTGAATGATAATACTTAATGAGCAGTTAATCAAAACCAAATAACTACATAAACCGCGAACCTGCATAGAAAAATATGTAACATACCCTTTTAAACCGACTCCGTTGATTGGTTGTGAATGACCGATAATTCCCCGAGTATCCTTAGTCTTGTTTGTCTTGATGACTTAACGAAAACGAGGGCGCGTTCACAGGTTGAAATCAATCACGAAGTGGAAACTGCGAACTCATCCTTGAGTGAGTTACGTTATCTTGGCCAAAGCCAATTGAGGATAACCAGGGCAATAGCAATCTGATTGTAGTTTGATTCCATCTCTGATGTGGGCGGTTAATTCAATATTAACCCTAACATGTATAAATTTTCCCGGAAGTCATGCAAATCAGTTTTTCCATCATCGATCAAGGTAAATCGTCTCTTTTTTATTGGTACGCTTTTGTTGCTTCAGTATGAAATGTGTTCTGCCTTAAGATGACTCGCTTGGTTTATTGATAATACCTTATTAAATTCCACATCACCTTTTTCTAGCACATTTCTACTGATGTGTCATGACATGATTCTCAAACACTGACTCTGTTCCTTTATGCATAGCTAGATGTGTATGCATAGTTGAATGCAAAAACAATAGAGTCAGATTCGTTCCAGTCTTTCCAAAGGAACCTTTAGTTAAGCTAAACATGTGTATTTCTCTGTGTGTAACGAAGTAAGTTTTGTCGTTTAGGTAATGCCCGAAACTGATGATGAGTATCCTCGTTGGGGGTTAACTAGTGTGCACATTGGTTCACTTAATGGACACGGTTCATGGAGCAACTGAGTGTGATGATTCCCCTATTTTGTTACCAGGTACGGTTGGCCATATAAGCGGTTTTTCCTCGTACGTTCGCACAGCTTAGCGTTAGTTTTAGGCCCGCATTTATCCTACCACACTATCCCTCAAGGTAACGCAGATTCCTGGCAAGCTATTTACCGAGGTTCATATATGCCATGCCCAAGGTAATGACTACCATCTGACTCTGCAGAAATACGAACTATGTGCGTCACAAAAAGGATACACCACCGAAGGGGGCAGTGAACGCATCGAGGCGCCAATGCAATTTATCAACTGAATGTGACTGGGAGCTATTTTCATGAGAGATGCAATGCAATGAGTATTTCTGAATTGATCGATGGCATGCGTGTTGTGAAGGCGGATTAAAAACATGGGTTTGTAAAGAGAGCGAAATGATGAATAAATTGAATCGCCTTTAACGGAGAATTTTCCAGTCGGTTCGTTGCATTTCGGGGAATTAAGCATGTGAGGATAACACACTTTGCCAGATTGCGATATCGTGATCAGTGAAGCGAAAGATAATCCGGATATGAGGGACATGTCTAACGATATGTTTCAACTCAACCGAAGATAACGAACTTTTTGCTAGGCATTATGATTGAAAAGATATTGCTTCAAGGTATGCATCAGTTTTTTTTATCAGGACGACCACTTAAGGTCTAGTACTGTATGTGTGTGACTCCTTCAGCACACAACTCACATCAAGTGTTCAGTGGTCAGTGAACGGCTGTAATCCGGGATCTTGTTTCCCACCCTAATAGGATGTGCTTTGCTCAGACCAGTGAATCCATTTTCTCTAACAAGCTCGAATTCCACATAGTCCCCGTGGGCAGTTAACTGGAAAGAAGATGAAGAGCTGTTATGCATAGGCGACCCCGGTACCCATCGCAATTGAAAAAAATAAAATAATTCCTCAGCGAGTAACTTGATGGCCTGTTACAAAAAGAACCTAATGCTCCCCTAAGCTATCCATTCAAATGTTCAGGTGAAAGATTCGACTGCGAGTTACAATAAAATGTGAGTGGACACTGTTTTGGTCTAAACTAAATTAAATTTAGGGGATCAAACATGGTGAACATGATGAAAAATAGCAGAAAACATGCTTTTGAAGAAATAGGAAATGTTTATTCATGTAAACGTATATTATCATCATTTTATAGGCACAGTACTTAAGAAGGCTTTAAACCTTCTGGAAATTTCACTAAATTTTCGCTTCAAACGTTCATTCAAAAAACCAGAGACGTTAAACCGATTGCAAAGGAAAGCACAGTGTGATCGAATATAATGCCAAAATCGCTTCTGACCGTGATAGTTGCTCACTCTTCATTCAAACACTTTCTAAAACAAAATAATCGAGCTTTTACTATCAGATAAATTGGGTTGTGCGGATTTCGTCTATTCAACGTTGGTAAAAATATGGGGAGGTTTAGCATGCATGTGAATATGAAAATCAGTAGATAATTATGAAGTATATCAAACGTTGAGAAGTTATTTTGGGTGTAGAACAATCGATTGGATCGTACTCTGGTTGTGAAAAGAACCAGCAAATAATGATAGTAATCAAAGGAGATGAAAGCTACTTTGTTTTTTGAGGTTCTGAATAATCAGCACTTACGTGCTGAGAAAGAGATGGAAATGCACAATAACCAAATGTGTAACAGACTTCAGGGTTTGCGTTGGTGCACATTTATGCCAGGTGAATGGTCAATTAACGTCCAATATAAACAGTTAATTTGGGCTCACTACAGCTAGCTAAACGCTGAACCTGGATGCAACTCCTTTCATGATATGTTTCCTTCCATTTCACAACACGATACTTAGTAGAAGATTGGAAAGTGATAGTCATGTAAACTTGGAGATAAATGATGTAAACCAATCAAAAAAGTTATGGGACTTTGTTGAGAAACACGTGTATATAATGCACAATAATCGAGACGATAAGCGGACCAGCTGGTGATAAAATATTCTAAGCATGAGAGAACGAATTGTTAAACAGTTTCAGGGCATTGACTATTTTGACTAACTTACACTTGAACCTATTTGGGAATAATAAATTACCAGACAGAAAGAAGTGGGTAATCCGTTCTCATTTGTCAAGGAGTCAGTTCTGATAAACCGGAGTTCTGCTTATGCTGAAATAATGATAGCAAACGAAGGAATATTTGTTTATTTAGATCTGTACGTGCCAGTCCTTTGATTTG